GGGGGGGAAATCCGGGGCGCAGTCCAAAGTATCAAAAACTGGGTGATCCATCCAAGAAGAGACAAAACATGGTTGAAATCCGGAACAGGATCCAAAACGGGGAATAAAAACAGGGTAACGAGGCCAGGCGCCCCGAGCCCCGGACTCAGACGGTCAGGACGCCGTGATGGAGCCTGTGCCATCAGGTCTCTCCTGGACCCGCAGGTAGGCGGGCTTCCGAGTGTCCATCTCCCACTGCTGAGCCCGGAATAGCAGGAGCGCCAGGCTTAAATAAGGAGGTGCAGAACAGGGGGCAGGTGCACGTAATCAGCCAAAATACGAAAGAGCCGGAGCGCCCTTAAGAGGAGGGATTACGATCGTGACAATGACATTGCAAACAAGCAAGCTAGCGAATGCATCTATTTTAATCTGAATATATCGCTTTCTATCTTGAATTGGTTTTGCGAATAAATGGAACTTGTTAACCGTACATGCAGAGCGTATTGAAACATTTCTGCAGTGAAAAGTCTGCCGCACGACCTGTACTTATTCGCTCGTACGTCACATTACATGAGTCCCTGCAGTGACTAGTGAGCAGGAAGGGCCGCATCGTGCAGCAGTTCCTGGGAACTCTCACTTCTGCCCATGGCGGGACTAGGGGTTTGCAATGACGTGGCGAACGACAGCATTTTCCCAAAGTTCACGATTTTGTGCCTAATTCGAAAACGTTGTCAAATCTTTCTGTAACGGCAATTAATTTATTCTGGGGCAGAGCTTTGATAACCATTCTGAGAAACTGGGACTGCAGTTCCCCTTTAAGTAAAGAGCTGAGCTGGAGAGCAGTGACCTCCAGTAACCGTGTGAGTCTCCAAAAACCAAGACCCTATACAACCAGTATAGGGTGTATTGTTCCGCCTTCTACATGAGGACATTGGCATGTAGTCATTTCTATTGAATAGTCATGCTAAGCCACAGTTCAATAGGGAGAACAACATCCAAGCATTGAATGCTTGGAAAACGTGGTGAGGAACGTTTGGGAAGGGAGGAGTTTGAGGTCAGTTCATGTATCTAGTCTGCGGATAATGGTCAATAGGTGCAGCCTTGTGAGATTGACCTGTCGTTGTTATCCCTCCTGAATTTCAGTACATAACCTCCGTTTAATGGCCTGTCTGATGTTGGTGCTAGCTGTGCTTCATTCTCTGGAAACGGCTTCCTCTCAGTCAGACCCTGACTGGTACACTTCCTCTGCGCTGCTGGTTGGGAAAGACATCCAGGGTTCAGACAGGTAGGAGCTGGTTTTGACTGGTTGCCATTCTGGCTCTGTGCACATTGCTGCCACCTGAGGGAACAGGCCATACAGTTCAAGAGCTTCAGCTTTGACACCCCATGGCTTGTCCTGCATCCCTGTCAGACTCAGAGCAGGGTCTTCTGAGCCAGAGTGTGTTAGCTGCAGGGGCTACACTGCTCCTTCCTTTCAGATTCACAGTAATTCTATAGCATAATACTTGCCCAAATAAAATCTAAATATTTAGACCATTTCTTTCAAATCTGCAGATGATTGTAATGATCAATACAAACTGTGGCATTCTGGGCCCGAGGTTCTGTAGCACTTGATTCTTGTAGCATGCGTGGCTGAAGCCTGGATTTGAGTTGCTGTCTCAGACACTGCCTTTAAGTGCTGAAAGGTATATTAAATGTACCGGCGCCAAAACATCAGGCCCTCGCAGCAGGGGAGTGAAGTGCTTTTCAGACACCAGGAGACGTCAAAGTCACAGGCCCATTCAGGTCTTGAATGGAGTTTGTAACGAGAGTTCGGGAGGGATGACAACAGCCAGGTGCTAATTACTGGCGGCTGAGTCTGGTGGAGATCACTCCCAACTCCTCTCTTAAAACATAAATACTATGTGATCCCCTCTCTCCCTCGCATACGTCTTTTGAATCCCACCTCCACCCCATCTCCACCTCTGCCCTCAGCCAAAGTTTCACTCCACAATCCTATAAGGAGCTTTATTCTTGGGTGTTATTCCTAGTGAAAACACTGTGGGGCAGCTGTAGTCTTTGGTAGCCGTAGGATTATCTGGTTATCATTACAGCCTTGGCACCTGGTTATTTGGGTTAGAAGTCAAATCAGCTGTTTTTTTCGGTCTTAATCAATTGCTGTTTGAAAAAGCCTTCATATATTCTGACCCTCAACTAGTGGAGATGGTCATAAGGCTCATTTCCCCTTGAAACTGGTTAATGAGTAGTTCACTCATCTTTGAGAGTTGCACAAACTGTACAGAACTGCCAGGAAAACATACTGGATTGAGAAGGGGAACTCGTCTAGAAACGTCCATCTTCCAAGCAGAGGTCTTCACTTAATTCTGAAGACAGTATCCCTGCAGCGAAGGCAGTAACCTTCAGCCTCAGGTTCAGCCACAACCTAACTCAGTAAAACATTCTCTACTACAAAGATGCATGTTGTTATCTATTGTCTGTGCCTTTGACTAATTAATATAGGGTGCAATTCAAACTACTGTCCTAATTGCAACACTATTTTACTTTAAATCTCTCGTGCTTTGTAAGCGTTGCAGCACCAAGCTAACAGCTGTCGCCAGTTCCTCAAAAATACCCACTGTTTTGACACCAGAAGTTTTGATAAAAATCCCTTCAGAATAGACTATAACAACTTCCTTCAACATGAATGTCTCTGGCGTTTCTAAGGCCAGAAAAATTCTTCCTTGCAACATTTTTTCTTCGTGATTGAAGCTACGTGAGACTTTAACCTAATCTCTGCGGATGACCTTTTATTTGTTTCAGTGCTGTTATTGAAACATGTCATTTCTAAGCAACCCCTGAACTTTGCTGCAAATATTTAGCAAT